GTTCTGTGCCACACGATCCACACGGGGCTCCGCCAGATTCCGGCTTGGTGCACCAGGAAGCAGGCCTCAAGTTGCTGCACCTGCTTGCTTCTCCCCAAAACGGGCATTGCACAGTGGACAGAGCCATCTGCGGGGTGTATAGGAGTGTTTTCTCAGCTCACCGACCCCCAGAAAAACCCTTTGGACTTGGCCTGAATCTTCCTCTGCCCTGGGTAACAGGATGCTCCTCCGCCGCCTTCTATGGAAACTTCCACCCACAGAGCTAGCTCCCTTGCTAGATGCCTTCTCTGTGCAGCCTGGGGTGTGTCTCCTTGGGTAGGAACTAGTAGTTCCCTGGGGAGAGGATTGTAAGACCTGAGTGGACCCCTCCTGGCCCTGAATTTGAGATCTGCGGTTCGGTAAAATTGGTCCTGTGTGCGGATCTGGACCCGGGCATCTCCCGGAAGGGTCCCAGGTATGGACCTCAGCATCCTCTGGAGGTGTCCCAGGTGCAGACCCCAGCGTCCCCTGGAGGGGTCCTGTGTATCTAGATGCCAGCACCTTCTGGAGGGGTCCTGCGTGTGGACACCAGTGTGCTCTGGAAGGGTCCCAGGTGTAGACCCCAGTGTCTCCTGGAGGGGTCCTGTGTATGTAGACACCAGCACCTTCTGGAGGGGTCCTGGGTGTGGAACCCAGAGTCTCCTGGAGGGGTCTTGCGTGTGGACACCAGCGTCCCCTGGAGGGGTCCTGCGTGTGGACCCCAGCATGCCCTGGAGGGGTCCCAGGTGTGGACTCCAGGGTCTCCTGGAAGGGTCTTGTGTGTGGACCCCAGCATGCCCTGGAGGGGTACTGGGTGCGGACCCAGGCTGGGTGGCCCGCAGCCCAGGCTGCTTCCCAGTCGCCTGGCCTAGGGCTTCTTTGCCCAGGACTGCAGTCAGCAGTACGGACCAGAAATCTGCCTGGGAAACAGGAGGCTCCCTGCCTGGACCTGCTGGCTCCTGAAGCACACGCAGGGAGAACAGGCCTGCTGCTCACACGCATTTTCTCAGGGGTCGAGAGCTCAATTTTGAGATGCTGTTTGCCCCAGCATCAACACAGGTTCCTACACAGCCTTTGTGGGAAGTGGGCCAGGTGAGCGGCGCTCGGAGGAGGCAGGGGTGAAGAGGAGCAGTTTTCCTCTCACAGTCTGCTCCTTCCTGGAGAAAGCACGCTGCGGGCGCCCAAGCTGCGGGTGCACGGGGCCAAACACTGTGAAGTCGGGCTGCCCTGGGTGGGCAGGGTGGGAACTGTGGCCTTCTCCGTAGGACAGCAGCTCGTGAACTGCTTTAAAGCTGCCAGCTGTGTGAGTTCCTAGTTCTTTTTCTTAATAAAAGTTTAAAAGTAAAAACTCCGAAATATTAACCTACCATTTTTTAAAAAATCTTTTAAATTTTCTTTTATTATTATCATCTTTTTGATGCCGTACTGGGGATTGAGCCTACGGTCCGCACTTGAACTGTGTCCCCAGCATATTTTTATTTTGAGTCAAAATCCCATGATGTGTCAGGTTGCTGAGCTGCCAGGGCTGAGCTTGCAATTGCGGCCCTCCTGACCAGCCCCCCAGAGGGCGGGGGTTACAGCCGAGTCTTCTGGGGTGCTACTTCTTAAAATGCTTCTTTCACACTGAAGGCGCTTCCTATCTGCTAGAGTTTGTTTCAAGGTGCTTTATAGTGAAGCAGTTTAACCTTGTACCAGGCTACGAGGAGGGCAGCAGTACACAGCCTGCCATACACAGGGAGCAACTGAGGCAGAGAGGGCCGTGGATCCTCCCCGCACTTCACCTGGTATCTGGCAGGGCAGGCTCAGACCCCAGGGTCGGTCCCCAAAGTCCCTGCCCGCACCTGGCTCCTGGACAGGCTGTGTGTGAGTGGGTCGCCATGGGGGCTGGGGCCACGGAAGTGCCCTGGGGTCCTGTGATGCGATTCCTCTCACCCAGCTCCTCCGTCACCACCGTGGGCAGGTGACGCTGCATCCACCCTAGGGTGACACTTGGAGCCTCAGCAAGGGATGTGGATTCACGGGGGTCTCATGGCTCCCAGAAGCAGAAACCGAGGTGTCTCTGTGGCCTGGGCCTCTCAGCTCTACTCCTGCTTTAGCCTCCATACTGTGTCTCCTGCACTGCCCTGGCAGGGTCAAGATCGCTTCCTGCTGGGCCCATTCTGTGCCAACAGGCGAGCCAGCTTCCCGTGGAGCTGTGGGTGGCCAACCCCTGGAGGCACGGGACGTGGGACGCAGGGGTGGTCGGGATAGGAAGCTGTGTTCACTGCACCCGGGCCACCGCCTCCACGCCTGGGGGCAGCAAGCCCCGCACCCTGCAGGGCTGTCCACTGGGGCGACGTCTACACCGTCCACACCCTACGCCATGGGGCAGCAGGACACAGATGAGGGGACCCTGCCTCATCCCTCCTGGAGTTCGCCCCAACAGCATGCCCACATAGTCCCCACCCTCGCCACAGAGCCCGTGCACACGCACAGGCGCCTTCCCCGCCCCCACCTCCTGCCACCTGTTGGCATTACGTCATTGGCCTTCCAGAGCACAGTTGCACCCAAGGCCTTAAACAGAGCGGCTCTTCTTGCATTGTTTGCACTCAAAGAGCTGACACAGAGCCAGCTGATGTCATTGTGTGGCTTTGTGTGGCTGCCATGGCAACTGGGCAGGTGGGAGCCTCGCTGCCGTGGTGGGGCAGGAGGCGGTAAGCAGGGTTTCCAAAGGCTTGCTGCTGTTTTTCAGAGTGTGGGGTTTTCTGGCATCCTTCTCCCTTTTTTCCTTTTTTAACTAACTGCTTTTAAGACCAGTTACAGTGTGAGCACCCTAAATAAGAAGGAAGTCTTTTTCTTTTCCTCTGTAAGAGTAAATCTCTTTAGCTCTCATTCTTTCCTCTCATGTGATGTGGAAAAGTGTCACAATTGCATTTTCCTGAAGAAGAAGAAGAAGAGTAAGTTAGAAGTTTCCACCACAGCGTCAGTGTGGACTGTTTGTTTAGAGCTTTACAGAGGCAAAGCTGAGCAGATTTTAAATAACTCTCTGGGATCTCCTTTCATGGAGCTTGTGGTGCTGGTGCTGAATGGCTTCTATTTACTTATTTTTTGAAGTATTCACTGGTGAAGGTTTTTCTACTTTTTCATGTTTCCCTGGACTTTGGAAATTCTCTTTCACACTTCATTGTTTTCTCAGCAAAATAGAGTAATACGTAAGCAGAGCCATCATCGGCAGAAATCAGTCAAAGTGCGTGTGTAGCTCTTGTCTTTCTTTTCAGAAAGGGAGGTTTTGTGTTTTTTACCCATTTGGCATGAGTAAAGGGATTGTGACATGGACTTGGAGTTTTCTGGGGACCTGGCATCCTGACAGGAGGGTGTCTCGGTCACCGCTGGCCCTGAGACGCCAGCTGGGCTGGATGGCAGCTCCCTGGACAGCCTCCACAGAGCGGACGTGAAGGAGAAGACACGTGCGGCTCAGACGTCTTGTCCTCCTTGCAGCAGAGCGCGTCCTGCTCACACTTTGCATCCTCTGGCATGGCTCTTGGGACTGCTGTGGCAGACACGAGGCATGTGTAACATGTTGGGGACAGATGCCGCGCTGTGTTCTGGTGGCTTCCAGCTAATAGAGGCGTTCAGTCTCCCTCTGCTCAAAGACCAGGCCAGACTGTCTTGTTCTATTGGATATAAATGCCTGCTCCTGAGGCGGAGGATGGAACAAAGATCCCACACCCTCGTGTGTGCCACTGGAGCCCCTGGTAATCCTCTGGGTGTGGTCATGTGTCCAACCACGTGTAACAAACAATGAAGGGACATTTCAGCAATGAACTGTGCTTCTGTCTGCTCGCAGCCCTCACCTCTTGGGGGCTGTTTTTAGCTCGCCCTCTTTTCAGGGTCTGTTACTACACAGAAGCATTCTTTTGGTTCTCATATGCGTTTCCCTTTTAATGCCTATGTAATAGTCCTTGGAATGAATGATGATGTTTGCTTTTACAGAAATCCTACTTGGGCTTTTTTTCTGGCCTTTCCACTAAACAGAAGGTACCAGGCCACCTCTTCATTTGCCTGGCTGTGGGTCCCAGGCCTTCACCCCCATAATGGAGACGGCACTTGCCCAGGTGGGGGGCACACTTGCACTTGAAAATGGGGAACCAGATGACCTGAAGCCTTGTGGGCTGCACCCCTGGCTCCCGTGACAGAGCAGGCCTGGGGCTCAGTGTCTCTTAGCTGCAAAGCGCTTCCCCATGGGCTCCCTTCCCCACCCTCCACCAGCCACAAACAGGGCGGGCACTGCTCTCAGACCCCGTGTCCCTGGAAGGTGATGCCATTGTCCTCACTCTGACAGGGAAACTGAGACACAGCCAGAGGAGCTTGGGGGACTGTGACAGAGCTGGGTTCTAACCAAGGCATCTGCCCCTCCTGTGGCCCTGCCTTTGGTCACTCTGCTGGGTGCACCCTAGTCAGATGGGCAGAGTGTGGGTCTCAGTTCTGCAGAGGGGGCCATTGCCCCACCTTCCTCTCCCCAGCGCAGGGTTCTCTGCAGGCCCCAGGCAGACAATGCAGCCAAGGCTGTTGGATGGGAGCTGTTTCCTGGAAGGTGCCCTGAGGGATATATTCTAAGCCTGGAGCAGTGGTGCACTCTGGAGGCCGAGGCAGGAGTCTCCGGTGGGAGAATCACGAGGCTGAGGCTGAGGCAGGGAAAATCGCACATTATAGACCAGCCTGGGTAACTTAGCAATAGCCAAATCCTGTCTCAAAACAGAAAAGGGCTGGGGATATAGCTCAGTGTGAAGGCCCTGGGTTCAACTCCCCCTACCAAAAACCAAAGCATGTTCTGAAGCCCTCTGTGCAGGGAAGGGAGGTTGGTTATGTGCCCCCAAGCGGACCCCACTTTTGTCCTGGTTTGATACCTAAGAGTGCAACACCAGCACCCCACACATAGGCAGTGACCCCCCTTGTGCAGCTCCAAGGTCACTATGGTCACTATGGCTTTCTGTCTACCATAGGAGGGCTTAGCAGCTTTAAGCAGAACCACGAGAACTTGTGTGACAACTCGCTGCAGCTGCAGGAATGTCGCGAGGTGGGTGCAGCTGTGGCCCCCGGCCTGCTACCTCAGCCTGTGCCCAGCACGCCGGACATCGAAAGCGCCGAGCTCACGCCCATCTTGCCCTTCCTCTTCCTGGGGAATGAGCAAGATGCGCAGGACCTGGACACCATGCAGCGGCTCAACATTGGCTACGTGATCAATGTCACCACGCACCTGCCCCTCTACCACTATGAGAAGGGCCTCCTCAACTACAAGCGCCTGCCGGCCACTGACAGCAACAAGCAGAACCTGCGGCAGTACTTCGAGGAGGCCTTTGAGTTCATCGGTAAATTTGCCCCTGCTGCCCTCTGCCCAGGCGATAGCGAGGACTTGCTGTGTTCCTGGGCCCCTGGGATGGGGGTGGGGGTTGGGGGTGGAGGCGGGGTGGGGTGGGGGGTGTCCTCCTTGGTCCTGCATGCTGGTGCCATTCGGTGTGGCTGGGTCTGGCCACCTGGAAATGCTTGGGCCAAGGGGCAGCGGCTGTGTGTCCCTCCCCTGGGCACCCTGCTCCACCCAGTCCGTGGTATATGGGGGGGTGTCACTGCATCTCTCAGTTAAACTAAGCCACCATCCTGGTGGTCTCTGCCCAGAGGTGGCAGAGAAAGCTATTTTTCTGAGGCCTGCCCTGAGGCTTTAGGCACTTACTGCTTTAAGTTTGCATATATACCCATCCATGCTTGTGGTCACTATGGTCATGCTCAGCGTGGGGAGCTGGTGTGAGTCCACCACGCAGTTTCCTTCCCTCTGTGTCCCCTCGCTCCCCCTTGCTCCACTCTTTGTCCCCTCCCATAGGGAAAGATCTTCTCCCTGAGTCCTGTTGTGTCTCTTTTATGCTGCTCTTTATTGCCGCTGTTGTTCTCATAGAGGAGAATCCACGCACTATTTAAGCTGTCAGTCTGACTTCCCACTTAGCATTACGGCCGTGAGGTACCTCTGCTTTCCTGCATGAGTGGAGCTCCTCCTCCTCTTCCTCCTTATGGCAGCCAGGGCTCACATCTAGGTATCGAAGTATATCGTGTATAGGTGTACGTCATGCGTTCTCCAGCCTCTCCTCTACTGACAGACCTTAGACATAGACACGTAGGCCATTTCCAAGAGCTGGCTGTTGCGGGCTGCGCTGCTGCGAGCCTGCGCAGGTTCTGCTCTTCCTCTGAGGCCTTTGAAGTCAGGCGGCTCCCACAGGCCCAGCCTCCCCTGCGTGCCAGTGCAGAGCACATGAGCAGAAGGGACACACTTTCTCCTACTGCTTCTCAGTTCTTAAATGCCACCTAACAGACAGCAGCACGTGATCCAATGTGAGGGTTCCCTGACAGTCATCCTGATCTCCATGACATGAAGAAGCTCAGGTTGTGTCTTCCCTAGTAGGTCCTGAGGAGGAGGAAGAATGTTCTAGCAACCGCTGGCTCTCTCGTCCCCCCAAAGGAAGCAACCCACTGCCTCATGCTGATCTAGACTTTTGCTTGAGCCGTGGCAGGGCTCAGGTGATCAGGGTGGACACCGGCCCTCACTTAGCAGATTTTTGACAGCTTTGCAAGCGACTCTGGCTTCTTTTGCCCTGAGCAGTGGCTGGCACTTTGCCTGGCTCACACAGTGGTCCACTCCCCTCCATTCCAGGAGGCACACGCTCATGGCTGCTGCTCCTCCATCAGAAGGAGGGCTCGGGTCTCACCGACGCAGGTGGCCTGCTGGAGAGCCAGAGCCCAGTGCTTGCCCAGCTGCTGTCCAGGGCTGTGATGCCCTGAGCTTTGGTACCAGTCAGCAGCGCAGGGTGCAAAGATGCCTCTTCCTCCCCGAGTGCACAGAGCAGGCCAGGGGCTTGCTGCCCCATAACAGCGTCGTGGGTGAGTCCACCAGCTTAACCCTAGCTGGAGGAAGCTGGGATTGTTTTTCCTCTAATGAACAGCATAAGCACACTTGTTGTAATAGGATTTCACCCAAAGTGCTTGCATTCCTTGTAGATTATTCAGGCTTGCCTGGCTTTAATTTTTAGAAGAAAAAAAAAACCCAATAAGCCATAGCATTTAGCTGGAAGAGCAGCTCAGAACCATGGCCCCTGGAGGCAGCGTGTTTTACCCACTGTCATCCTGGATCAACCAGAATCTCTCAGAGCTCCCTGCGAGTGAGACGATCTGATCCCCAGTCCTTGAGGCAGGGAGGATGGGGCTCTGGGGTCTTTTTTTTTTTTTTTTGCAGAACCAGGGATTGGACTCAGGCCCTTGTGCTTGCCAGGGAAGTGCTTTTTCCACTAAGCCATCTCCCCAGCCCCTGGGCTCTGGGTCTTGAGTGACCCTATGCTGAGCGGCTGCACCCGGAGCACAGCCAGCCCAGCACTACGTGTGTGCTCTCTCTGTCTCCCTCCTGGCCTCGGTGGGAAGGCTGACAAATGGCCCCCGCTAAAGACCAGACTGAAGAAGGGCGATCTCCTTGAATTGCCATTGTCCTTTCCAGCATTGCAGTCTTGTAGAAGTAGGCCCCACAGGCCCGTTTCGAGGATAAAGCCCTCAGCCTGCTTCGTTCCCAGGTCAGCGGGCGAGCGGCCAGGGAAAGCTTGAGCCACATGTCACGCAGCTCAGCCCCCTTCCCCGCCTCGTGGGTCCCGCTTCGGCCCTGTCGCCTGGGGCTCGCAGTCCCCGTCTGCTCCTCGAGGGGGCCCGAGGTCGCTGACCGAGGCGGCCCCTGTGGCCCTGGCGCCCTCCGTGCGTGCCGTGCGGGTCCGCTGTGCCACCCCCGCCCCCACTGAGCCCCCCCACTGAGCTGCCCGCTCACCCCTGTCTCCGTCCCGCAGAGGAGGCGCACCAGTGCGGCAAGGGGCTGCTCATCCACTGCCAGGCCGGCGTGTCCCGCTCCGCCACCATCGTCATCGCGTACCTGATGAAGCACACCTGGATGACCATGACGGACGCCTACAAGTTCGTCAAGGGCAAGCGACCCATCATTTCCCCCAACCTCAACTTCATGGGGCAGCTGCTGGAGTTCGAGGAGGACCTGAACAACGGCGTGACCCCGCGGATCCTGACGCCCAAGCTGGTGGGCGTGGAGACCGTGGTGTGACCCGCCGCCGCCGAGGGCGGCTTCCGCGTGCGTCCGCTTGCTTTCTTTTTTCCTCTTTTTTAGTTGGAGGCATAGTTTGTGAATGGAATGGAAGCGAATCTGTTTAAAGACTTTTCATTTTTAACAAGTGTGAGGAGACTAGCCATGAGGCCCCGCAACCCACCTCCTGCGCAGTGCGGCGAGCGGAAGGCGGAACGAGTCTTTGCGCCGCGGGGAGAGCTCTGCGCTCCGGTTCTTCCTCTTCCTTGAAGCTGCTTGTGGAGTTCACCAGAAATAGTCTGTGCAGGTCCATAGACGAAGATACCAAACCTTAAGCCACTTCACGAGAACCCAAAGTAAGGAGCGAGGACGTCGAATGCTGCAGGCTCGGGGCTCCTCGGGCGCCCCACGTAGGAAACCAAACCCAGCCGCGCCAGCCCCGCTCGCGCGTGGAGGGTCGGGTGCTGCGACACTGCGCGAGGGTGCTGCCACGCGGTGTGCTTCAGGCTCTGGATTTGCCCCCTCTGGCTTAGACGTTTGTGGGTGACAGGAGGTGACCGTTACAGCCCACCTTCGCAGGCTTTGTGCAATAATGCCGTGTTCAGAGTGCAGAGTGTGCAGGCGTCGGCTGGCGCCGAGCGTGGCCAGGGCGCCTTGCCAGCCGGGGGAGGAATTCGGCAGTGCCAGGAACTTCCCTTCCCACTTTTTTCTTTTTCCTCTTTTCCCTTTTGACTCGATTCTGGTTACAGTGCCACAAACCTTGTTACATATGTATATCAGAATGTAAAAAAAAAAAAGACAAAAATTTATTTAAAAATATTTTTCGCAAAAAAAAAAAACAAAAAAAAAACAACAAAACCTTGGTGTGTTTCTGTTAATTATGTAAAAATTTATTTTCATTATATAAATGAAACTCATTTGGGGATGTGTGTTTCTTTCCTCTTTTGTCTCCCCTGGGACTCAATGGCTGCCCCCTGATCTCTAAAGCTGTGTCCAGTAAATACAGAAGAAATGAGACTCGGGATTTCCTCCAGGAGGGGAGGGGGCAGCACAGCAAACTCATGTAGAATCCTTGGGGTCCCAGGGCCTTATCCAGTGGCCACTCCCGTGCCATCAGTCCCATCTGCTGTCCTCCCTGTACACGGAGCCCCTGACACCCCACGTGCAGCCAGGCTCCTCCGCCTCTGCCCTGCCGCACAGCCCTGTCCCTTCAGGTTTATGTCCCTTCCCTTCACGGTCATGATGGCGTCTTCCCCTTAGGCCCGTCACTGACATCTCTCCAGCTTCCTCCCAGCAGCAGCAGCAGCTGAGCTTGTGGAGTGGGGTCAGCTTGCTTGAGGCCCTGCTCCTGACCTCCAGACACTGGGGTCCATGGGTTCTCTGTGCTTTGTGACAGTAGATGTCCAGAGGGACAGGGACACTGGAGCTGTGCAGCCAGCTGGGGTCCGGGCGAAGCTTGAGCCCTGGTGGGCTGATTCCTGGCTGCATCTGACGGCAGTATTTGAGTGAACGATTGCTTACAAATCTAACAAAATATTTTGACATTTACATCTTAAATAAAAAAGCTATTTAGATTTTTCTTTTATTATTAGAAAAAGAGAGGTTGAATTTAACCAGAATTCACTGAGCTGTTTGAGATTCTTTTGGCTTAATATAAACTGTTAATTAGCTGAAGAGTCCCTATTATGGTGTTTTCTGCTTTAACAGTTTGCTAGCAGACTATTTGCTTGATGCTAGAACTTATTTAAAGTCAGCTTTTGATACATAATTAATGATTTAAAATATATAATAGTTTGTCAAACCTTTTTCTGTTTGAATTTGAATGTTACATTTCTAATAGCATGTAAAAGTCTTTCTCCCTTTTTTTCCCTTCCTTTCTCCCTCCCTCCTTCCTTTCCTCTCTTTCCTTTCTTTAGATGAAGCAAGGGAGTCAATCAATCATTTCTATTCTTCAGCTACATGGAAATGATTCCTTTTTTTTTTTTTTTTAATGTACTTAGTGGGGCCTACAGGGTCTCATTACATGAATCAGACTCCTAGTGATCCTCCTGTTTTCAGCCTCCCAAGCACTGGGATTACAGGTGCGTACTACCATGCCCAGTATCATTCGCCTCAGCCCACTCTAGGGACGGGGCCAGCCTAGCATACCAGGAACCAAACCCCTCACCCCTGCGCTTGCCTAAGCAGGTGCTTTAATCCACTGGGCTATGGGCTTTCTTTTTTCTTTTTCTTTTTCTTTCTTTCTTTCTTTCTTTCTTTCTTTCTTTTTTTTTTTGAGGCTTACAATTTTAGGAGGAAGTCAGTCCCCTGCCCTGTGTACCTCCTGAGCACTCTGAGAGGGTGCTGGTCCTCTCTACTTGAGGCTTTCGGCCTTGGTTTCTCCATGAGAAATGACAACCACTTCATGAAGATAAAACAGACAGACAAACGCAGCCATTGCTCTGGAGCTCAGAGTCCCTGGTGCTCAGGGCTGTATCCTGGCTCGGGAGCTTGGGGCTGAGCTGGGCAAGGCTCACCTTCCATGGGAAGCAGAACTTCTGACCAGTGAGTCATCATTCCCAGAGCCAGCAAGGGCTGTGTGGAGCTGCTAAGCTCAGGGATGTAGCGGAGTCTACTGCAGCGGACAGTGTAAGAGCAGATGCGGTGGTCATTATCCCCTGATGTGGCGCAGGACACTGATGCCCCAGCAGCGGTGGGCATACTGACCCAGTGGCTGATGCTCTTCCAGTGGCTGAGGTCTAACTAGGGTGCAGCCGGCACCCAGCACAGAGCAAACAGCCTTTGCCTGCTGCTGTGGGACAAAGGTGGGAGGGCAGGAGACAGGAGGCTGGCCGCAGAGGCCGGCAGGATGAGAAGAGTGATGTGAGGACTGCGGTCACGGTGGGCAGTAGTGGGGAGCTCTGGTCTTCTGGAAGTTTGCTGAAATGGGAGAAAACTGGGGGAAGTGAACATGCCGGAAACCCTACTCCAAGCTGTGAAAGAAAGCGCCCCAAGTAGATACCTCCTTTCGGAAGGGAAACCACAATGAGCACAGACCTCACAGTAGTGGACTTCGCTGTCACTGTGGACGGCCCTTGGAAATGAGCCACACACATCAGTGGACCCCTCGAGCATGTGACAGCCAACGTCAGATGTTGGTTTCAAGCCATGAGCAGAGACAGCTGCCATGGGGGATTGGGAAGGGGGGGTAGCGGAAAATGAACAAGTGCTGGCCACAGATGGGGGGGCAGCAGTGACAAAGGGCTAGTGTGAGGCAGCAGGACGGGGACGCAGTGTTGCCCCCGTGCTCCATTTCCTCCCCTGAGACCATCTTTGTCAGTGCGTGCTCTAAGATTCACGCCAGGTGGCAGAAGCACGGAGTGGAGTGAAATAGGCTTGTCCCAGGAAACGAAGCTCAGGTCTGTGGGACTGTGGGAGGCCCCAGGGGAGCGCTGCTTCTGTCCCACAATGGCTGAGAATCTCTAGGCCAGTCCTGTCACCCAGGAAATGAGCTTGCCACAAGGTCGAGGTGTGCGAAGGGGAAGGGAGGAGGAAGCGAGGCGCAGCCCCCTTAGCCGCGCCAGCCGGGCCAGGCTACGCGGATCTAGAAGCCCCTGCCGGGGAGCCAAGCGGGTGCCTCCCCAGACTCCAGCGGAGCTAAGTGTGGAATAGGGAGGGAGCCCTGAGCTGTGAGCACGCCCCTGCCCTAAGTTGAGGTGTGGCCTGGATCCCCCAAAGCCGCGTGCAGTCACGTAGGACTGCGCCACCGCCTCCCTCCTGCTCCTCTGACCTCATGCAGCTGTGCCCAACAGCAAACCTCAGGCTGTGGCTGGCAGGAAAGGGAACTCTGGGCCTGGGCAGTGTCACTCCTGATGTGGCCACCACGGTCCAGCCCTGGCCAGCAGGCCCAACTGTCCTCACTTCTACCCACCATGCAGAAAGTCTGAAGGAGGCTACTTCTGCCTGCATGAACTTTCTCTGGCGCCGGGGAGACGTACTTTCCTCCACCAAGAGCTCCTCGGTAGCCTCTATTCGAGGCTGGCATTAAATCCTCTTCCAACTAAACTCCACTCTTCGTCCGATGTGCTGTGACTTAAACACTGAGGCACGGGGATGGCTGAAATGTATCTTCCACAATGGTGGGGTGAAACTCGGACAACAAGGAGCTTGCTGGAAGCTGGGTCTTTACAGATGCAATGAAGGCAGCAAGAGGTCGTATTGGGAGAAGACAGCTTACTCTATTCCTATTGTGCTTATACAAAGAGGCAGATTCACATATGCACACATTACCCAGCAAAAGAAAGTTACATGACGTCATAGCAGGGATTGGAGTGATACATCTGCAAGCCCAGGGTTACCTGGGACACCAGAGACCAGGGGGCAAAGAGAGGGGCATCCAGCAGACACCCCGGGGACCACACAGTGCAACAGCCTCAGCCAGCACCTTTGTGTAGATGTCTTGCCCGGACTGTCCAGCACAAGCTCTGTTGCGAGAAGCCACACAGTTGGCAGAGCTTTCTGCGGCAGCCCACAGCAGGCAGACACGGAGGATGACTGCCGCCGCCTTTTCTATTGGGACAGAATAAAGAATTAGCAAATATAAAGACATATTTCCATAAAAATAAGCTGTTGCTCACTCTCAAGATCCTGTGTCTGCAGCTGATGTTCAGAACTTCCGTCCTCCCTGGCAGCCTGGTCCTCGGCCAGCACCGCACAGCCCCTGGTCGCAGTGCCCTGCCTGTGGAGCGCACCTGGACCCTTGCCTAGAAGGATCCAGGCCTTGGCGATAGAGCTGATGTTGGGTTGCTCCTCATGTACCTTGTTACAGTAACCAAAGCAGTTGCAGGACATGACTGTGTAGCAGATGCCAACACACGCCTTCTCAGGCCTGTAGCCTCGTAATGACAGGTCCTGCTAGCACCCTGAGACCCAGGGCCTTCAGCCTGAGCCATAGATCTGGCCCTTTTTATTACTATTTTTGTGTGACAGGGTCTTGCTAAGTTGCGGGCTTATATTGGTTGATGATTTAGAGAATTTATTGCATCTTTTGGAACGTTAGCTTTGCCCCATGGAGTGCCCCATCCACCTAGCAAGGAGGCAGAACTGCCTGCAGAGCCACTCCCCCTTGCAGCGGCCTCTGAGTAATGAGAGCACGCAGGGCCCGGTGGATTCCGTGAGCGGGCGCCTTTGCTGCAGCTCGTTCAGCA